AACGTGGCTTAGCGCGGACCCGCTGCTCGGGTCAGCCTCGGCTTCCACGCGCTTGTGATTCAGTAATAACTGGAAGCACAATTGCTTTTTCACTCACTATTTTTTAACGGTTTATTCATAAAGCAATTTTTCACTTTTCACTTATTTTCAGCCCCTTTCACATCTCTCTACTCACAGCTTCTGCCTCGGCTTCACCTTTCCCTCGCCCTTCCTCCCCCCTTCAGCTTAATTTTTCTTTATTCCCTTTTTTAAACCTTGAACCGTTAAAATGGTATAAAGGTCTTGAGTGCTTTGCTAACCGAAATGTTTCCTTTCAACGTCTCCTTAGGGTCTCTTTCTTGGGTTTTCATTCTCTTCCTTAAGCTGCTGGTATTTCTGTCCCCTGGTCTTTTGGGGACAAGAAATTTAAATCTTTCTCACTTGTCATGAAAGTATGCCTTTGCTTAAAAAAAAAAGTCAAAGAAGAAAAACCAAAAACCCATTAAATTAAACACCGTAGCATTCATAGTACTTAAGTCTAGCAGGGGTTTGATTTAAGCACAACCCATTATTTCCATTAAAAGAACCTTGATTCCTTTCAGATGAGTATATTCCTGGGGAAAGTGCTTGGTTCTCACAAATTAGCAGGACCTTTACAAGCTCACTCTCTTTCACCAAAAGAAGCCACAATAGTCATTTCCATGCAAGCTCACTCCTCATTCCCCCCCCCTTTTGACATTTGCTCTCTAATTGCAAATATCTGCCTATAGCAATGATCAGAGTTCCAAGGAAAGCAAACCAAACGAATATAAGAGAAAATAATGGAATCTCAACTCACTACAAGTGTGATACTTCCAAAAGAGCAGGAAGACAACCCAGCAATGGTTCTTCATTTTAAGGATCAGGAAATGGAGGACCAGGGAGTTTCCAGGGCTTTCTTGAGAGCATGCAGTTGACAAGAGACTAGATTGAGCCAGGACTAGATCTGAGCTTCTAATCTCCTGGTTCACTGTGTTTTCTGTATGAGTGGAAGCTCATCATCTCAGGTCCCATCTTGGGTGCGTTTTTACACTCTGGCCCTCTGAGCCCTGGAAGAAGAAATAAGTGACCCCATTATTGATCCTCAGTTGGTTAGTGTCACAGCACCTCACTCTCCAGGTTATCAGTATTAAAACCAGGGAGGCAAGAAACAGTAATGTGTCAGGGCACAGTGATGTGTCTCACTGCCTCTGGCTGTGTGGATGGGAACCGGCATTCAAGGGATGCTGATTGGAAGGAGAACAGGCAGAGGGGCCCCTTCTCTTCCCAAGAAATAACTACCATGAAAGAGCACTGGCCTGCAAGCCACTTTTACACAGTGACAGGTGCAGTGCTAGGAGAGGATGGTACCATGTCTCATTTTCCATCCTTTTTCAGAAACCCTGGAAACTCCAGTGTGGAATACCATTCAAAATATTTAACAAAATCTACAGTGGCTGGTCACTGCTATTTGGGAGGCCAGGATAGAGGAATGGTAAGTTTGAGGCCAGCCTGGACCACTTAATGAGACCCTGTCTCAAAATTAAAAGAAAAAAAGGTTGAGGATGTAGCTCAGTGTCCAAGGACCTGGGTGCAATCCTTAGTACCATAAACAAAATGGAACACAGCCAAAATATACAGCAGAGTCTGTTTCACAGTATCATGGATTCTTCCTTAGGATTAGGCAGGCTCTCCATGTTTCTCTAGATACATGCAAAGCAGTTCCTATGGGGCCTCAGGGACATTAAGAAACCTCTACAAAAACATCAAAGGGAATATTAAGAAGTCCTCCACAAAAATCTTGTGTATTTCTCATCCCAGGTACATGATAATGGATAAGGTTGATGGAAAATATTTGAATGTACACCCAGAAAGGATCTGTCACATTATCTTGTCCATTCTGTGCTTTCAAACAAGCTGACACCAAGCAAGGAGATTCTGCTCCTCTGGGAAGGAGCCTAGTATGCTAAAACCATAAAGGCAGTGAGTCTTCTCAATTTAAACTCTAGTCCCTTTTGCCCTGATTGAATTCCATTTCCATTGTTCTGCTCCTCACCAGCAAAGGAGAACAGCTGGTTATTGTCATCCACAAGTGAATCCCTCAGATGCCTAAAGATGAGGAGTTTTGCCAGAATTCCATGAGATCAACCCCCTTTTGTTAACATGCTGGAGAGTTTCTTACCAAAATCACCCACTGATACTTTTCTGTCACTTCCTCTTTCTTGACGGAGGTAGAAAAAAAAACTACAAGATGACTACATTTACCTTTAGACTGAATAAAACCTCCGATGTTCTTCCTCTTCTTCTCCTCTACTTTTTTTGGCAGTACTGGTGCTTGAACCCAGGAACACTCAGCCACTGAGCTACATCTTGCTAAGTTACTGAGGCTAGCCTCCAACTTGCAATCCTCCTGTCTTGGCCTTAGCCTCTGGGATTACAGACATGTACCACCACGTCTGGCAAAAAACTTCTAAACTTCAGAGAGAAGGAAAAGTGCACAAGGCCACCTCTGGTTCCGTATTTGTCAAACCTGGAAGAGCAAACTAGGAGAGGGTTTGTTAATTTATACTATTCTATGAAACTCTGTGATGAAGAGAGATTATTTGCATAAATCTGGTTTTAAAAATAACTCTTTGGAATCTGGCTGCAGTTTTTTGCCTGAAGAACATGATTAAGGCTGTATTGAGATTAAAATCACTTCTCAACTTATTTAAGGAGCAGCTGTCAGCAGCATTTTGAGCAGTTGGACTTGGGGGTTTTGAGGTGTTGAAGCTTGAAAAGGGATGTGATGACAGTGAGCGCCAAAGAGGCAGGCAGTGGCCAGACTGCTCTCATTCCTTCTGGCTGGAAGTTAATAATGACAAGGACATGTTATGGCCGAAGGACTGCATGGTGTCTCAAAGGAAACAGGTGTCTTCTGGACTGGTTGAGTGAGCACATTCTTTCTAACTTTCTTCCTTACCTTCAAGTCTTGCAGCCGCCCTGTGTGGTGCAGCCTGCCTTCCTAGACCAGATAATCCTGGAGGTCTGGTTTTACATTAAAACCTCACACCATGTGTCGCTCAATATTTTCATTCCCCTGTTCTGGCCTTTCCTCATTATCTTTTAGAGAAGGCTCTGTGCAGGTGTGTACGTGCACGTGCGCGTGTGAGTGCACACACACACACACACACACACACACACACACTCAAACACGAATAAGTTCTTCACTATACCAACTTGGGGGTCCTAAAGTGATCTCATTTCTCCCAAGAGGAAAAAAATATCTATCAAGGTGCGCATAAAGCCTATGATACTGTATTTATAACTTTTCTATATTGCCTCATGGTGTGGAACTCTAGTCATCATTTCTTCATTTGTTTAGTTAAGGAAAATTTCAGAGAAGGGTGACTTCTTCAGTCTTGCTTTGCCCCACAAGCAGCTGTGTAAAGCCTCAATCCAGCAGTATGGACTTCGGCAGGTGGACTCGGACTCATAGAGAACATTGTCTTTCCATGTAGTGTTTCATTAAACAGCCAAGTTCATCCACCAGTGTTCTCGAGATATGTAACTCCCAAGCAAAAGAGATGTGATTTGCCAAGTAAAGAATGGTGATTTATGGTAATAGCTGTTACACTCTGGATCTTATTTGGCTTCGTTTTGAAAAATTATTACCACAATGGTTCTGTAGGATTTAGGAGTATAACCAGCACCATTTGGCTCATTTATGACATTAGGGTTCTGGTTTTCTTAACTCCACAGTTACATGTTGGCAGCATTTCAAATTCTTGGCACAGATGTTTAAGTGAATTTGAGGAAGAAATATTAAAAACAAAATAAAACACCAGGCAGTTTTAAGTATCCAAATGTAAGAAGGAGCATTATTTTCTTAACATGCAGTTAGCATGGAACCATGAACTTGGTAATGGATATAATGGGAAGCATGAAAACCATTTGCAAAGGGCTTTTAGCTTCCCCAGCGCCCCCACCACCACCACTGAGGACACTATCCCAAATGCATTTCCTATCCATATCTACCAGATAGGGATTCAAATTTAGTTGTATCATGTCTCTGGAAACAGGGTGGTTTCTGGAGCATCCACGGACAAGCAAGTAGACTCATTCCCACCATTGACTCGTGGGGCCCCAAGAAATGCTGCCACGGTCCCTGGGTTTTGTACTAACAATGCCCACATTCTGGTAAATCAACTTTCTGGAATTATTTCATGTGCACAAGTAGCAAATCTGCTTCCCAGGTTAAGAAGTGAAGGGGAAATAAATAGGATGTAGGGCATGCTGCACTGCATGTTCTGTTAGTGACTAAAGCAACACTGCATGTCACCAGTGGGCAGTGCCTAGACCCAGCTTCCCGGGGCTCCTCATCCACCAGCAGACTGGATACACACGCACACACACATTGGAATTGACCCCAGTCTTCTCTACCTCCTCACACCCCAAGTCCATCAACAAAGTAAAACAAAGGTGGGTGTGGTGGCATGTCAGTAATCCCTACTACTCCGGGTCTGAAGTTAGAAGATTGCAAATTCGAGGCCAGCTTGGGTAATGCAATAAGACCCGCTCTCAAAACAAAAAGGCATGGGGACGTGACTCAGTGTCATAGCACTTGTTTTGCAGGAGCAATGCCTTGAGTTCAATCCCCACTACAGCAAAAAATAAATAAAAATCAACAACAAAAATAATCCAACAAAAGCTAACAAAATCTTCCCCCTGCCCCCATGTCCTGGAGAATAATTGAAATGCCTTTCTTAGAGAACACCTTTATAGCTCATAATTTTTTAAAAAAATCATACACTGTTGAGAGTTATGAGGGACACAACAATCAATGCCCAAGGTAGGTGGGGAAGATGGGGGCCTCATGGCTGGGGCTACTGGAAACAGAACCATGGTGGGGACAGGGAGAAGCAAATTGCATCATGTTCAAAGTGTGGTCCAGGCTCACCCTTAGAGTATGGGTAAGAAGTTGCTCACTGGCCCTCCACTCAAAGACACTAGACAAGCATCGGTAAAGCATGAACATTTATATTTAATTTACATTTTGACAATTTGCACATAAATAATGTAAACCAGTACGTAAACATAAGAGAGTTTGTTGTTCTAGCAAAGTAAAAAGCCAATAACTTTGGTCAGTTTTAACTTTGAGTAGAGGAAAAAAAAACCACTGTTGATTGTGGGCTCAACATTCACATGTAAGAGGCCTAAGAGGGAAAAGACAGATGGCAAGAGAAGCAAGTGGTCCTTAGGAAGATTCTCAAATACAAGAAAGCATGAAAGGAAACCCATGTGTTCATTGGGAATAAAATATTTGGTGTCAACATCAGAATGACGCTTTGGTTTACCTACAATCAAGGACCATGTCAAACACAGATACATCAAAAATTGTCAGTTTTGAGCTGAGGTGTAGCTCAGTGGTATAGAGTGCCTAACATGTAGGAGGCCCTGGCTTCAATCCCAGCACTGCCAAAACACACAAAAAAAATCAAAAAACAAACCACAATTGTCAGTCTTTGCTAGTCTAGGAATAGATCAGTAAGGCTCTTGGTTTTCCCTGGATTGCTTGAAATCTGTTGTTCTCTCTGCAAGTTGACATTAGTTGATTCGAACAAAATGGTGAATATATAAAAGAATTGAACAGTGATGTGTCAGTATTTAGGAAAGAGGGAAAGGAAAAGAAAGTTTGGTGGTAAAGGAATACTGAGTTGTTTTTTTTTTTTAATTTCTGTGACTCGACTGTGACCACATAATCATGATGTGGCAAAACAAAAACATAGCTGTTCCAGATGATCCTTAACAGCAAAAATGATGTATTACTTTCTCCCTGGTTATGTGGCCCTCACCCCTGCACCAAGGCTTCTTGTCTCTGATAACAGGCAAGGTGGTGCCTGAGCACTGATGTGATCGTGAGGTCCTCAAGTATTAAGCAAAGTCTCAGAAAGAGTTTTTTTTTTTTTTTTGCCCTTAGGAAAAGTAGGTTCTTTTACATGGCTTGGCTCACAATTTAAGTGGTTATAAATATATTATATATACACATGGTATAGTGGTATAAATAGATTTATAAATATACATCAATCTTTGCTACACCTTGAGTGCCAACAGGTAATCTTTGGGCTTAGCAGAGTAAAAGATAGAATGACACAGTCTATCTTTCTGGAGCACACTGACTTGGTTTCTCCTTTGGAGTAGCAAATCATTAGATAAGACATCACTTCCTGCACTACTGAACACACTCAATGAGGTAATTGTTGTTGAACAACTTTGCAATGCCCTTTCATCTTCAATTAAATTAACCATAAAATGCAAAAACACAAATACTGAGGAAAATCTGGGTTGTACAGAAAAAAATTACAATTGATGTGTTGGGGATAGGAATGTCCATTACCCGCTTTTACCCTAAGATGACCAGAATACCCGTTTTTCTGTTTGTATTTTTTAAGTGTGGCCCGAGCCTATCTACTTCAAATCCTTCCTGGTAGAGCACCACATTTGTGCAATTTTGACATAAAAAACAAAAACCAACAACAAAACAACATCTAGACTCAAGCTCCCAAACCTCACACGTACAAAACCACCTGTGCTTTGGGAAAGTTTCTCAGTGGTTTTAAACATAGAATTTTATCTTTCACATTTTCAGATAATACGCTGGGATGCAAAAGTCAGGTGGCCACTCTGAAGGCCAAATGACTTTTGGGGTGGGGTGCAAGGACCCTACTTTTGAGGAGAGACAGGTTGAAAAAGACTTCCTGTCACCTTTTTGGTAAAATAATGACTAGGAAAAAAAAATGACGAACTAGGAACAAAACATGACAAGATTCCTTTTCTTGTTCCTTCTACTCGAGTTATCATTGGGTAGTTCTGCACACACACCCCATGTTACACAGTGCTGTTCAAATGACATGATCCTATGAATTAACACATCAACTGTCGAACTTTGGCAATACTGAAACCTCATTTTCAGGTCATTATTACAGAGAGAGGATGACTGAAGTCATGTATTTGTCTACTAAATCTTAGGTACTTAAACAACTGTGCAGAAATTATCTACAAAGATGGCCACAAGACAAAATTACAACATTTATACTCAAATTACAAGGAATATTTCCAGTCATTGTAAACTTTTTTAATTATTGCTTTTTGAATGATAAATTGTATAATAAATTATGAAGGATTATCACTGAAAAAATAATTATGGCTAGGCAATAGTCTTAGTAATGGGAAGGCTATGCAAACATATCCACACAAATATTCAAAATACACAGGTTCAAATATATAGACGTGGATGTAAATAAGTATATATAATATGTATACATATATATATAGAGAGAGTCTTTGCGTCATTTATGCCCTGAGATTTCGGTAACTTTGGAGTCCTTCTTTAATTCCAGAGGTGAGGGGAACCCCCTGCCGCAGGAGAGCTTTGCGGATCTGGAGATACGCATGCGCCATCTGCTACAGGCACCCCGACTCACAGAGTCAGAACTTAAGAAACAAAACAAACGCTTGCTTTCTGAAAATCCTAAGGATCCATTGGTTCCACTGTTTCTTGCTTCACCTTTACAGGTACCAGAGGTAGTGGGTTGCTGTGGGGCAACTTCATGAGGGACAGGTCTGATGACTCGTAAAGGCTGCACCCTGAGGAGAGGAGTCCGTTCCCCATGTTTCTTTGCAAAGACACTTTCAGGCCAGTTTCTTCTTTCTCTTTTCTGACCACGGCCAGAATTTCCTTCTCCACCACAGAGGTCACATCGATGTTGTCCTCCATGTCCTCTAGCCGGTCGGCATTGTCACTAATGTCAAACTTCTCGATTTCTTCGTTGATCCGGGTTAGGTCCTCCAGGGCCAGTCCAGTGGCTGGGGCTACCGGGCAGTTCCCTTTCAGGTGGACCTTGAGGCTGCAGAGATGGATGTAGCTCTTGTGGCACTGGGCACACTTGTGGGGCCGCTCCCGGGTGTGCAGTCGCTTGTGCAGCTTCAGGTGCACAAACTGGGTGAACTTGGCAGGGCACACCTTGCACTGGTAAGGCTTCTCTCCGGAGTGGAGTCGCAGGTGGGTCTTGAGATTGCTGGTGCTGCTAAATCGCTTGTGGCAGACCTACAATGTGGGGACAAGGGAGGGCCAAGAAGGGAGAGAGGGAAGAACAGAAGATTAGGAGTTTGCCAGTGGGAGGGACAAGCCGACAGGCCAATGCCCAGTAACCTGGAATTAGGAGCCTCCCCGAGTGTGCCCACTCAGTGGTGTGGTACTAAGCACACTGGGGACATGGGCACACTGCACATGGTGTGCTATTTACTTCCCTCCCATCTTCCCACCCACTGGCTTTGTCACCCTTGCTGCCAGTCAGCAGGTACAGAGTACCGGGGAGCTCCACAGTCTCAGCCCAAGGTAGGACTCTGGTTTAAATGAAGGGCTATATGACACGAGAAGGCAGCTCCACATATATTCTACAAAGGTCAAAAGCTCTACCCGGAACACACCGCCCACCTGGCATTCATGTGGCTTTTCTCCCGTGTGGACCAGGTAGTGTTTCTGCAGGTGGGCGAGCTGAGTAAAGCCCTTGTTGCAGGTCTGGCATTTGAAAGGCCGTTCTCCACTGTGCACTCTCAGGTGGACCTGGAAGAAGCCACAGGTGTTAGCTCTGCTCTGGCACCTAAGGTTTCTGCTCAAAGACTCGGGTGTTTGTGGTGGAAATGTCTTAAGAAAAGCATCAAGACAAAGTCTTACAGAGAACAAGGCCTTGGGTTTTCAGAATGCTTTCATGGGCCTGAGCTGAAAGAACAGAAGTCTCAGCTTGGCAGGGACTTGACACTGATCTTCTAGCCCAAACCCCACATTTTTATTATTCAGAAGAAACTCAGGCAAAGTAACTTGTCCCAAGCCACAGAGCTAGAAGTGGTGAAAGCAAAGGAGAATCCATGCCCACTCAGCCCAGCCCAGGTCTGCCACTGCCGGGAGGCAGTTCCCATTGTGTGGATGTGAGCACGCTGCAGCACCACGAGGCTTACCTTCAGGTTGGAGAGCTGGCCGAAAGTCTTGGCGCAAACGTTGCACTCATACTTAATCTTGCCATTCTGCTTCTTAAGTGGGTAGGGAAGGGTCTTGTAGCCGGTCATGTTTCTTTTGTTTTTAATGAGATTCATGGCCTCGTCACTGCTGGGGGATGCCATCACCGCTGAGGTAGCTTTGGGTTGTACCACGTGTTCTGACGTGGCGGCTGTTCCCGCCGTGGGAGACCCGCTGGTGGGGTTGCAGGTCTTGTCCTTCATGCTGGCAGCAGCCCCGGTAAGGGAAAAGGCACTGTGGGGTGCTGGGACAAGCACCTCTCTGGGATGCTCAGGCGGAAGCAACCTCCGGGCTCCATCTGAGGGCAGCGAACTTGGGAGAGAAGCTGGGTTGACCATGGAGTGAGGCAGGCTGCCCCCACCAAGGAGGTTACCGTAGACGGGATACAATCTCGGGAAGAGGCCAAAGTTGTTGATGCTGTTGATGTTGCTCATGGTGCTCAAGCCGTTGCAATTCATGCCGTAGGGAGGCAACAGGAACTTGGGGTAGTGGGCATTGTAAGAGGGGATGAAGGCTGGAGGGAGGTGGGGGGCAGGTGCGTATCCTGGGTAAGAGCCCAGACCTTCGGTGCCATAGGGTGTGTTCAAGTAAGTGTAGGAGTCTCGGTGTTCATGAGAGCCAGGGGCCAGGGGCGACACAGTGTTCCCCGGGCTACTGTGTGGGCTGGAGCTTTTCAGGCTTTGGTCAGGGCTGCTTCTTGCTGAGGGACTTGGAGTTGTGGAAGAGGGGATGGGGGAGTGAGTAATGTAAGTTGGTCTCTCCATCCCATAGGCCAGGGAAGCTTTCCATAAGTCTTCCGGGAGAGGAGCCCGGATGGGGTAAACAACCCGGGGGTAGAAGGGCATATCTGGGCTGCCGTTCTTTCTAAAGCCATCGATGTCCTTGTCTGAAATGTTAGAACGGTAGAAGTCCTTCCCTTTGGAGGGGTTAGAGTCCAATTTTAGGATTTCTTTTACGCTGTACTCTCTCTTTGGGACATTCTTTGGGCAAAGTTCATTTTTCTCAGTACTCGGTTGCTTTGGGTTGCTCTGTGTTTGTGCTGAAATAAAGAAGAGAGGGTGATTACTCAGAGGCCTACAGAGAACTGAAGTGAAATGACCAGAGCTGCTCTGAGCACCACTTGGTGTCATGAATGACAGGCACCCGGCTCCCAATGCCTTCTCACTCAAGAGGGCTCGAGGGCCACCCACTCGGAAGTGCTACTCTTTTTCCTTCTCAGCAAAATAGGGACCATGGCAGCATCTACAGAATAAACAGGGCCATTTGGATGATCTTGTTTCCATTAGTACGAACTTTATGATAGAAAAGTGCTGTTCAAACTGGAACAAGATAGCGTTCATCAAAATGGGGTGGAAAAATACTTGGGTGGGGGTTGTCACAGGTTAATAAAAGTCATTCTGATGTTCACAGTTTACCTAAAGGAAATCAGCACGCCCTGCAGCGAGATGTGAAAGATAAAGACTCATTTCAAGTAATAAACAGTCATCAATTTTCAACTTCTTGTTTAATATATGAATTTGATGAAGCCCTATTCAAACTGACTATGCCAAATAAATCAAGGACCCGGATGCCACCCCTTATGTGTAATTGGCTGACAGCACAAGCATTTCACCAGGGTTCTGGTCTAACCAGGCTCCCAGCAGTACTGTCCCCTGGGATCACAAGGTGTGACAGTCACTTCTGCCAAACCACAACAGGTACTTCCCGAGCCAGTTCAATTACTTACACCACCAAAGAAAACAGAGGTGGCTGAGAGGGAAGCGTTTATTCCCAAGGATGGCATATGTTACCCGGTTAACAGACTATTTAGGAACAGGAGCAATGAGGACAGCTCTCGACTGACTATCCATGCCACTGCCAGCCCTGTCGCAGGACAAGTGAGGTCTGCAGTCAACATCAGTCAGAGCAGAGAAAACTTAAAACGCCTGCTTAGTCTTTCCTGCAACCAAAAGTAAACCAGCAGAGGCTTGGTTGGAGCCCCTGTTCCAGAAGGGCCGTCCCTGAAGCTGGCTCGCCTGCCCTAGGGGAGTGCTGAAGGTGCCTTGAGAAGTAGCAGGGCCCATGGCCTGGGCATCAGGCTGAGGCCTTCGTAGTAGGATCCCTCCTTGTCCTACGGAATGTTCTGCTGGATCTCACAGAGAAAGCTCTCCGGGCCTGCTACCTGATGGGTCTAGAGATGAACTCTGTGGACCTCAAAAATGGAGCTCTTCAAATCCATTCTCCAGGCTGACAGGCTGAAGGGAGGGATTCCTTCCAGCTGGAGAGCCCCTCTGAGAGTGTTATCTCCTGCTAGCTGTTATCAGTTACTCCTGGGCCAGCCAGAAGCCCCAGAATAAACACCTCGGACAACACTATCGGGGAAGATGCTGATCAGGGGGCAGTGATGGAAAGCTTGTTGAGGGAGAGGATTTCTGAAGTCACTAAACCAAAATAAATATCCCCTTATCAGGCCAATATCAGCCTTTCAGTGAGGCCCAGCAGGCAGGAAGTTCAAATTGTCACTTTTGTTTTTTAAAGCTGAAATGGTAAAGGAAGAGAAAGACAACTAAGCTGGAAAGCTGATAGGTGAGGCATCTCACAGGCGCAGGAAGGAATTTTATGAAGGTGGAGAAAAAAAAAAAAAAGGAATGACTGGGATGCATCTTCAGGCTCAAGTTAACAAAAACAAAATAAAACTGCCCCCAATAAAATTAAAATACAGAAAATTCATCCTCATAACTTTGTGTCATCTTTATGCGGCTGAGTACATCTAGTTCTCAATTTTTTCAGTAGCTCCAATACCCCCAGGGTTCTAAAATCCAGTGAGCATGTACATTTAAGTCAATTCCCAGAACTGCCCCCAGATTTAGTCTGTGTTCTTCCTAAGCACCTTAATAGAACTGAATTTAAAAACTGACATGAAGCTAATGTCTTGGACAACAACAAAACATGTGCGTGCGTGCATGTGCGTGCATGCGCGCGCACGCACGCACACACACACACACACACACACACAGAGTCAAAATTTCAAATTTTCTATGGAAAATATCTGGCACAGTGCCTGGTGCATATTATATCTTCTCTAAATGTTTTTGATCTCTGATGTCTTTGGGAAATAGATCTACACCTTCTTCTATATCCAGAGTGAAATGTTAGGCTCTCTAAAATGTCCTACAGGTGGAAGTTATGGAGTCTATATGAAGGTGCATTTTACAAAATCGTCCTTCAGCAGCTGAGTAATCAGGGGAGCTGGTGTCATTTCTGACTCTCCCACTCAGCAGCAGCTTGAGTTAACATGAAAAAGAAAATCAAGATCTGTTTTTGTTCTTCAATCTTAAATGGCTGTAGGCGGAGGGAGTCATTTCAAGAGTGAACTGCTTCTGAAGGCTCTGAATGGCTTAATTATGCCGACTCACATTTTCGATCTATAATAAGAACCCCCAAGACTATAAGAAAGAACCTAGAAGTTCTGCAGTAGGCAAAACAAAGTCTGTTTTCAACTGAAACTGAGAAAGCAGATTAACATTTAGAAGTCTATAATTTGGTCAACTGTTTTCTAGATGGGTTAGTTAGATAGATGGCAAAAAAAAAAAAAGGAGGGGTAGGGTCTTAAGTGGGTCTCACCTTTTTTTTTTTTTTTAAACTTAACATTTATGCCAATTTGTGATTTCTGGCTACTTTTCCTTCCTTCAAATTGCTTCACATCTCCTCAAGTCTATCACTTGAATCCTCAGGGTCAAATCAGCCCTCTGTGGTCTGGCATAGGCCCCTATTGTGCTTTAAGCCTGGAAATCCAACATAACTCATTTGGAGACACAATCTCCCTATTAGGCCTGATGAAATAGTGGAAATTTTCCTGATCAGAGTCTCACTCATCAGTTGCCACACCTAAGACAACTGGTTTCACAATCAGCGCCTGAGTCTTACTGCTGTGTGACTGGCTGTTGTTAACTCTCATTCTTTCCTATGAATATCGGACAATGAAGGGGTGCCTGAAAATGCCCAACTACCACTACCATTTGGAAAAATTCTGCTTAAATAAAAGCAGATATTTCAAGGCACAAAGGTGTCATTTCATCGTGTTGCTTCTGAACATAAGCACTTGACACTTAAAATACCGTGCAAAGTCTTTCCTTGGGGAACAAAAATGCCAGGCCTTTAAAACCTTCCCTTGATGGGCACAGAGTGGGGGTCGTGTGCAGAAAGGTTTCTTCATGGTTGTTGGGAAGTCAGTGGGGTTGGGGTGACCCCAGTGGACTTACTGTTTAAAGATTTCAAAAATAATAAAACTTTGTCTGAATCCATAAATGACTAAAGGAATGTAAGGTCTTGGGAACCTGAAGCAGGAGGATAGCAAGTTCAAGGCCAGCCTGGGTAAGAGATCCTATCTCAAAAGAAAACGAGTTAGGGATGTTACTCAGTGGCACAGGGTTTGCCTACCACGTGTGAGGACACAGTTAGATCCCCAGTACTGCTAGAAAATAAAAAATAAAATAAAACAAATTTTAAAAATGTAAGGAGACTCTCAAGGGGAAGTGGCTTGCTATGCTGAGAAAGTGAGGGGGAACAGCACAACTTCCCCCGACATGGCTCTGACAGAACTATGTTCCAACTGTGCCTTTGTGTCTTTTACTACCGGGATCTTCATATTAGGTTAGGCACACACAGCAGAAGGGATGCTGGGTACTTAGCCCTAGAGGTGTGACCGGCAGTCTCAGGTAGCACTGAGAGAGGACTGTCGCCATTGGTCAGGGCAGACGACACTCATGATGTTCATTGTGGAAGCCAGTTTGCTCTCAAGCAGCCCAAGATCTTTCCCTGGAGTTCAAAAAAGCACCGTAGTGTGTTAAGGGCCATAGACATAGACATAATTCTAGAATGTGATATTACAGGAGTGGTCATGAAGCTTTTACAGCCCCAGATTTTCAGAAAAATTGCAAATATAGACTCAAGATCCTAAGGAAGATCAATAAGCTGAATAGCACATAATAAATACAAAGAGCTGGACAGATGGATTACATATAACTAGGGTAAGTAATTAGTTTGTTACCGGGTCCTAGAAATTGAAGTCAAAATGTGATTTATGTTAAAGTTATTATTTATTCCAAATATCCCAAAGGTAAAAATGTAAAGTAAAAACAATTCAGCCTTTAGATGAAGCAAGCAAGAGAGCCTATAAAAAATTGTCAAGTCTGGGTAAAGGGTAACTGGGAATGCCTTATACCTTTCTTAAACTGTTTCCTTAAGTTTGAAATATTATCAAAACAAAAAGTTACAAAAATTTCAGCATTCAGTTTTAACTTTTGAGCCCCAACGAGTTCATTTTAAAAGCTGTTATAAAATTTAGTAAGTCTAACCAAGAATATGCAATTATAATTACAATAGAGGTTAGAATTTTACATTAATTCTTAAATTGTTCATAGAGATCACTTGAGAATGATAAAATGAAGGAGCCCTTTACAGAGAAAGGTCATGACAGCATTTTTAACCAAATAAAAAAAGTAAAAGCTTATAAACCTAAGGAACTGAAAATTTGTTAAGATAAAGTGATAGGTGGTTACTGTAATACTGATTAGGAGATCAGATTAATTAGTTTTACCATAAGAAAGGAAGCCAAGATATGAAATCTCTAGGGTTATTCACTTAGAATATACTTGAAAAACTATGACAGAGCCTTTCTAGAAATAACCTTATGTTCCACATAAGACCTTGACTTTATATACAAATGTGCACCTCTACATTATTTCAATGCACATTTTAAACACCAACAAACTGCCATCAACAAGAGGTGATAGCTTGCATGTTCTGCATGTCTGGACCAATCTCAAACTCCCAACTGCCCCCTTTTGGATAAATTAGAATTGGACACATATTTCTTCCTGTAAGTTTCTGAATTCAATACTCAAAGAAGCTCTTAATATTTCTTTTTTTAAATGGTCAGGTTACATGACAGGGAACAGGGACTGAAAAATGTTTTCCCTCTTCCTCATCTCTGGTTTAAGCCACCTACTTAGTCCAACAGATGATGAAGCCATATAATTAAACAACCTGTTATTAGCTCACAGGGGCAGAACTGACATTACTGGCATTTTTTATTTTTATTTATTTATTTTTTGTTCTGTAATCCACTTACTGAGATTCATCATTGTGAGCTCTCCAGGATAAGGGTAGTTAAGCCTTTCTGCAAAGTCTCGACAATACCACACAAGAAGTTCCTGGTTGGCAGGGATGGGCTTAATGGTGTAGAAGTAGATGTTCATCCCGTTCTGACACGCAGCCAGGTTTTGCTCCCGGGCAGAGTGTGCCGGATTCACATAGCGCATCCAGTTGCTTTTCTCCTCATTAAAGCCATCAATGAAGTGGTGAAGCTCCCCTCTGGAATAGATCTGTCCAAAAGAGAAGACAGAAATGTGTAAGAGGAAGTCAGGCACAGAGGACCTCTCAGCACAGATCACACAGTGTGTGATCGCTGACCCACGCCCCCCCCCACCACCACCCCAGTGCTCAATTAGAAAAAGAATCAAATCAGTTTGGCCAGAGTACTCTTGAATCAGCAGAAATGAAGGTGGAAACAGGTAAGGCACATTCTTGTCAGTTACCTTTTCCATTTGAGTTTTATCATCTTTTCATGGTCGGGAAAAATAGTAGAAGAATGAAACACAAAATTTCACCTAAGAAGCAGCCTCAAACCGATTAAACCACCAGAGTACTACTTTTGCTACAGCACGGTCAATGGCAAATGGGCGATGCTACTAACTTTAGTTCCGATTCTGCTGACTTTTAGTGCTTTGAGTCATTGGGTAGAAGAGCAAGCTGACTGACTGCGTCAAACTGAGTCTCAGCTTTTTCTATGGCCTCTGTACTAGCTGTTTCCTACACCTCCGCCCAAGGCTCAGACTATGCAAACATCCTCCACCCCCAACCCTCCAGAGTCCTAAAGTAACACTTGTTCATATGAATACTTGGAACCTTGCCTTTTTGTGGAAGTGCTGGGTGGGGCAAAGGTGAACTTCACCTGCCATAACAAAGGGAGCGCTGGGACAGAGGCCAGAGTTTGACAGTCTACTGAGAAGTCACTTTTCCTCTTGATAAACACGTTCAGCCTTGCACCTTGCTTTCAAGCCAGAGAAGGGAAGAGAGAACCCCTTCTCTGTGGGCAGGTTGGCCAAAACCTCAAGCGAAG